CTATGATGACTGTTTGATTGTCGGTGACTTTAACTTCCCGAATATAAAGTGGTCTAACGATGGTATTGAATCTTTTAACCCAAACAATCCTACCGAGTATGATTTCTGGAATATTTTCCAAAACAGCCTTTTTACTCAACATATCACATTTCCTACTTTCCAGACTGATTATGGTTCCTCAAATAATATGTTGGACTTGTTATTTACCTACAACAGTAATTCTATTTTAAACTTGTCTCCTAGTACTATACTAGGTAACACCACTAAGGGTCATTTTAGTATCACTTGGAGATTCTTAGTTTCAGAACTGTTTACCGAAAATGTATCTCAATCGTTAAATTACAAAAAAGGTGATTACGATTCAATATCTAACTTTATTGCATCAATCGACTGGGAGTTTTTATTCCTGCATAAAACTGCAGATCAAATGTTCAATATACTAATTTCTAACTATCGCACTGCTTGCACATATTTTATTCCCAAGATTAATAAAACAAAAAAAAAGTATGATCCTTGGGTTACCCCACATATTAAAAACCTGATCCGAGAAAAAAAATCCGCTTGGCATATAAACTGCTCTACCAAATGGGAGAATAGTGAGCTTAAAATAAAATACAATCGCCTTAATCGTTCAGTAAAAACTGAAATATTTAAAGCAAAAAAAGCACATGAAAAAGAAATAATATCAAAATCCCAAAACAACCCAAAAATCGTTTACAAATATATCAACAAACAACTAAAAATTAAAGATAGAATTCGCTCTCTCAAAGATACTTCAGGCAGAATTATTGAAGCTCTTCCTGATATAGTTGATCTTCTGAACTCTCAATTTAAATCTATGTTTACACTTGAAAGCTCTGAAAATTTTCCTTTGCTAAATAAAAGTGGTATTCTTTCTGAATGCATTTATAATGAAAACTTGGATTTCTCTATCTCAGATATTATTCAGGAACTTGCCGATCTAAAGCCTTATAAATCCTTCGGACCTGACGGCTTGCATCCCTTAATACTCAAGATATGTGCCAAAAGCTTTGCAATTCCATTAACAAAAATCTTTCATAAATCCTTTAATTCTGGAGTAGTACCCACTCAATGGAAATTAGCAAATATTAGTCCGATCTATAAAAAAAAGGGAGATAAATTACTTGCTGAAAACTATAGACCTATTTCACTAACATCTGTTGCCTGTAAAATCTTTGAAAAACTTGTAAAGAAAAAAATTTTAAAGCACATTAACGATAATAAAATGCTCTCTGCAAATCAACATGGCTTCCTTTATCATAAATCATGCGTAACTAACCTAATAGAAACTTTTGATATCATTTCGTCCTCCATAGCATCTCACCAATTTATTGATGTAATCTATCTTGACTTTGCCAAAGCGTTTGACTCTGTACCTCACAACAGACTTTTGTTAAAATTAAGATCTTTCGGAATAAACGGCAAACTCCTACAATGGATTAAATCTTTTTTAGTGGGCAGAAAGCAACGCGTTACAATTAACAATACCAGCTCTGCATGGGTTGATGTTCTCAGTGGTGTTCCTCAAGGTTCTGTTCTCGGCCCGCTCCTCTTCATTCTCTACACAAATGATCTCGCAAAACTCACTGAAACTTCTGAGATATTTGCCGATGATACTAAACTTTTTTCTAAAACCTTATCGCAATCTAATTTTGTTGATCTGCAGGATCGTCTGCGCTTGGTATACGAGTGGTCAAACACTTGGTTACTTAAGCTAAACACTTCAAAATGCTGCGTCATTCATTACGGTCGAAACAACCCCCATTACAATTACTTTCTTCAAAATAACCAAGGAATCAACCAATCTCTAAGAAGCTCTACTAAAGAACGTGATTTAGGAGTCATTTTTACATCTAACCTCAAGTGGAGCGCTCATATTCAAACAGTTGTCTCTAAGTCCCTACAAATTCTCGGTATGCTGAAAAAGACTTTCACTTTCATTGATGAAAAAATGGCTCTCAAATTATATAAAGTATTTATAAGACCACATCTTGAATATGGAGTGTCCATTTGGGCTCCTTTTTTAAAAGCTGATATGGCTTTGGTTGAATCTGTTCAACGCAAAGCTACAAAATGGGCTTACAGCTTGAGGCATCTTCAATACTGCGAAAGGCTAAAAAGATTAAACCTACCATCTCTTGAGTTTCGACGCCTTCGATGCGATTTAATCCAAATTTTTAAATTAATACATCGTTTTGATATAGTTAATGATAAATATCTACCAAAATATATTAACTCCGTGTCTCGTGGTCACCATTCTAAAATAAGGCGTGAGTATGTTCTAAACTGTCTTCCAAGATATAATCATTTGTATAATAGATCAGCAAAATACTGGAACAATCTACCAGAGCAAATAACTTTGTACTCCACTGTACTTTCTTTCAAAAATAGACTAGACTCCTGGTTGTGGAAAAAGTTTGGAACAAATATTTATAAAACTGGTTGTTTATAGTGGGGTGTTTCCCCTGCTCGCTGTATGTGTACATTCTATGTAAATTTACGGCTACAACTATAATAATAATAATTGAAAATTAAAATGAATGAATATAAAAATGGAATTAAAATTGAATTAAAAAAGCATACTTTTGAAAGCAGAAAATTCAAAATTAAATTAATGTATACCTTCTATTAAAAACTCTTGCTCTTTTTACCAGCAAGCGCTTAAATTTTATTTATTTTCATAATATTCTAGTTTTAATATTATACTATATATTATATATAGTATAATATCAAAAAATATTATTGGTGGAAGGAGCAAGAGTTTTTAATAAAAGTTATACATTAATTTTATTTTATTAAATACTTTGAGTTATTTTATATATATATATATATATATATATATATATATATATATATATATATATATATATATATAAATATATATATATATATATATATATATATATATATATATATATATATATATATATATATATATATATATATATATATATATATATATATATATATATATATATATATATATATATATATATATATATTGCAGACAAGCAATAATGTTTTGAGTTTTTTTTTTTTTAGTAAAATACAGAAAAAGAGAGTTTTAAAAGGAAAGCATTGCAAAGAGAATAAATAATTACACAACCAAACAGCTACTATACTAAAGACGATATAAAAATTACTAAACTACAATTATGAGCTTAAACTTTATAAACTTTTCATTTTTTTTGACGATCCCGAAATCCCGGGAAATTTCGGAGACTAAATACCGGTTATAGGGATTGCCATCCCTATAACCGGTATAATAACCGATCTTTTTTAATTTGATCTCATTCAATGAGATCTTCTATTCTTTATCTTTTTTTTTGATAGTTTATGTAAAACTGTCCACGATTGTCGGAAACGCAATTAAATTCAGAAACAACCCTATATATATATATATATATATATATATATATATATACAAATATATATATATATGTATATATATACATATATATATATATATATATATATATATATATATATATATATATATATATATATATACATATATATATATATATATATATATATATATATATATATATATATATATATATATATATATACATATATATATATATATATATATATATATATATATATGTATATATATATATATATATATATATATATATATATATATATATATATATATATATATATATATATAAGCGTGGCACAAAAAATAATTTTTACTCCTCTAACAATGTTAGCTAATGCTTATTGCTTAGCTTACAATGTTAAAGGAGTAAAAAGTTAGAGGAGATGCTTCTGATTTAATTAAATCAGATGCATCTTCTCTAATATAAAAATAGGAAGAGAAGTCATTGATGTCTTTAAAAGTGTTATAATTTTGAACTTTTTATTTTAATAATTTTGACGTTTTTCACTGACTAAATGTTCTGCACGTGCAGATGCATATTCTGCTCGTCAAACAGACGAATTCTAATTACAAGTTATAATTATCAGAATCCACTTAAGATATCGAGATCCGCTAGGAGAAGAAATTTGATTACTGAGGATAATTTCAACATTAATCACATGCCAAAAAACATTTACAAAATTTACCTAAACAATACTTTTTTTTTCCTAATGAATATTTGCAATTCAAGAGCTTTTTTTCCACTCAGATTGAAATTGGTACAGGTGAAATCAAAAACCAAATCATCTGGATTTATTTCTGGTTATTTGATCAAAAAATTTAAATCCACATTCGCTAACATTCGCTAACATTCGCTAAGGTAAAGTTGTTCTTAAGAGTGTTTCTCTCTGCTGCTGTTACAAATTTATGAAAGGTTCTTTTCAACTTTAAAAAAGGTAAAAAATTGCTAATGGTTTAATAATGGACAGAATTGCCTGTCAGCTTTAGCCGTTCTTTAAATTAAAAATGTTCTTCTAAAAGAGTTTGATATGGATTGTATAATCAATCATTTCACTAATTTAATTCCTGCATTTAATTTCCGCCGCAAGATATCAAAACAGTTTATTTACTTAATAATATAGTGATGTAAAGCCTACATGAGCAACTGTGCATTATTTAGAAATTTCAATACTTCGTTTTATAAAAATGAAATGTAAAATACAAAGATCTGATTCTCCCTTACTTATTCTTTGGATTAACTTACTATTTTTAAGATAAGGGAGAGATTGGATAAGGAGACTGAATAGGCCACAACAGTTTTTTTGTTGGGATAGGTGGTGTGGCAGGTTGACCTAAAGACGCTTGTATATATTGTATATACCTACATCCCTATATGCAATACAACTATTTATTAGTTTTAAGGCGTACGGTTATTTGTCAATTTTACTGGTAACGGTTATTTATCAGTTTTATAGGGTACGATCATTTGTTAGTTTTACGTTGTACGGCCATTTGTTACTTTTGTGAGTCCAAGCTTTTTAAAAAAATCAAATAGTAAAGAAAAATTAAAAAAATAAATTTAAAAAAAATCTCAAAAAAAAAAGTATTTACAAAGGATTTTGCGAAAATACAAAATAAGTTTCAACAAAATTTTGTTTAAAAATGTCTCTAAACGTCGTTACAAAAAACTTACAATGGTATACAGAAAAATCTTGTTTTGATTGATAATTTAATGGTTTTCAAATCCGAAAATTCCAAATTATTTACTTTAATTTTTTTGCAAATTAGATGTTAGATGGGTGGGAGAATAATAGTTAGTCGGTAACTGAGTGTATGTTATATTGTCTTGAATATAATTTCTGCTAGAATTTCCAATAAAAGATAAAGTTGTAACGTAATAAATTAACCAAGGTTGTATTACAAGTGTTTGTGGCAATTTCATCGAGGATTGTAAGTTGTTAAAAAGTAAATTAAACGTGACATTATAGCTTCTGTCAATGCAAAGATTGCTTAGCTCATAAGTAATAAATACAAAATCTTTTTTTCTTGTAAGTAAAATTAGACATTTTGAATCTAAGAACCTCGCTAGTGTTGTAGATTTAAATGACGGAATTGATAAAAGTCGAGCTACTTCGCGTCCGGCATTATATTCGTTTTGAGATTCTTTTCTGCAAATGCAAAGTTCAATATCTATTTCTTTATCGCGGCATTTGCTAAAATGCTGATATATACTTACACGATGCCATCGTGTGATAGCTACACTGCTATTATGTTTATTTGAAAAAGCCGTAACCGATACTTCAAACAGTTCTTCATCACGATATTTGTGAACAACAATATCAAAAGTATATACCGTATTATTGGCATTGTCTTTTCGCTTTCGAATTTTGTCAAAACGTTTTCCTATTAACCTTTCACAGTTCAAATATGCAGTATTATTCAACGATGTTGTAATTATGTTATTTAAGTATCCTAGCGCATATTCAGCTAACCAATAAACTTCATCATTAGAGTCGGATAAGTTTTCATTCCAACCATCACACAAACAAGACATAAACGTGTACATAGGTATATCACTACAATAACGTTCAAGAGATATTTCAGTCAGTAGACCTGATTGAAGCGAAGGATGTTCTGAATAAATGTTCATTAATGTATGAAATAAATCAGTGTGTGTAATAAGACGTTGTTGGTTTAATTTTAGAGCGGTCATTCTTTTCTCTCCAAGTACGGCTTTGATTTTTTCTGGTAAAATCATAAACATCATTGCTTGTCCAATCTCATGTCTACCCGCTAAATAATCTCTTGAAAATTTTGATGTTTTTGGTCCATGATCAGAAAAAACTATTGTCATAGTGTTTTGAAGTTGAGCTACTTGACCAAGAAATCTTGCTAATACAAAATCGTTATGAGCTATTCGTCTTCCTGTTGTTTCGTGACCTGTATTTAAATGAGTGTAAAAAAACAACGGATATGCCTCGTTTATATTTTCAGCTGCTTTTAAGTATTTATATGTGTAGTTCAGATAATACTCCGGTAAGTGGTAACCGTTATAACAAACTTTAGATGGATAATTAAATTGGTTTGTTGTTCCATAGCTCTTAAAAACTTCGCAACTCAAATGGGTTAAACCATAGCTATCAACAGGTAAACGATCGAGTTTTTCTTGAAGAATACGCCAAATATTTTGGTAATCGAATGTATTGTAAAGTAATTTCATATTATGCTTATTTTCAGTAATAATAGCTCCCCATGGATCGTACCAGCAACTATCTTCTTGAAGGATGGTCTGGTATCCAATATTGCTAAATTTTCCAAACAATGATTCTATGCCATAACTATTTTTTTCATCGTCCGAATCCTGGTCAACCATTCCACTGAATAACGCGCGCATATTTGGAAATGTTCTTGGCGCTAAACTCTGGAATAGTTCAAAATCATAAACAGTTACTTTTGAGCTTATATTTTCTAACTGATGAACTGAATTGGGTAACAATCTATAAAAATGTTGTCGGGATATCGAGTCTAGTAAAAGAAGATTTATATTCATTTTTTTGTTTTCAATTTTTTTATTTTTAGTTTTAATAAGAGGAGGTAAAACCAATGCTTGCTTAATGAAAAGTCGTTGATTTGCACATGTAATAATACAAAAATCATGTTCATCTGCTTCCTTTATAAGCCTACGAATAATCCGTTGAATTTCAGTATTTGTTCGAGCGGTAAACCATATTGTTGGGTCCATCATTAATCCATAATCTGGCTGCATCACACCCACTCGAATGACGTTTTTACCGCATATTCTTGTATTACAGTCTAGTTTCCATTTATCGCGATTAAAGTCACGCGAGTCGCGAAATTTGCAAATGTCATAAATATATTGGGACGAAATTATTTTTGGACACGAATAGTCAAACGTTCTTACTCCGTACCATTTTTTTGCAGCTTTACAATCAGCTTCAGATAAATTTTTAGGTTTGCATCGTCTATTACTGTTTATTTCATTTTGTCTACTTGAAAGATTTAAAAAAAACGAAGGACATTTGCTCAGTTCGACTTTTGGTTCTTTTACAAACTGCATTCTTTTTATTTTTGAGAGAAAAGATTGATAACTTATTGAAGAAAAAGTATTGAAGCCATGCATGTAATTAAAAAGTAGACATACCAAAGATAAACCAACAAACACTTTTATAATGACGCGCTTTAAAAGAAGAAAAAATAGTATTAACACATTTAATAGAACACCCTGATAAATTAAATTTAGCACAGGAAAAAGGAAAAAAAAAAAGGAAGAATTTTTTTTTGTAGGCAACTAATTAAAAGCTTATTTGAAAATTATGTATTTATAACAGAATATAAACAAACTATATTATAAAGAAGATAGAAATATCAAAAATATACAAACTTACAAAAAACTTGCGCATGTCAAATACTCAATTTAAAAGACTAATCATTTTTCCTAAACTTTTAATTCGTTTTTAACTGTTTTTGATTTTTAAAATAATTTAGTCTTTAAAAAACTATACTTTGTTAAAATACATTTTGTTATGGCACGCTGCTCTGCAAACATCCTTTTGTACCCAATTCTTCAGTGTTTTGGTTTAAACTATGCTCATGATACATAAAATCTATCCAATCAAAAATTTAGTTTTGTTTTTCAAAAACTAAGATTGGATAAATAAGTCTTTTATTCAGTCCGCACTTTATAAAAGTTTAGATGTTGTGGATGGTTTAATGTAGTGTTCTTAAAATACAATTGAAGAATTAGGAACAAAACTTAGAAAATAAAACCACGAAACAAAAATTTTATCAGTTATGAAGACGTTCCTACCTATTATTTTATCTTTAATATTTTATTTTTTTCTTTGTTAAAGCTTTTAAGATATTGTCAATAACAAGTATAAATGTTGTTGTAAGATTTTGTGTATTTGTAGCGTATGTTGTCACCATTTTGTTGCATTGTAAGATATTGTCTATTTATAGCATATGTTGCCACGGTTTTATTGCAACAAAAAATAATGAAAATATTACTACTTTAAAGAAACGTTAACCTTGATCTTATTTTTAATAGCTAAGTTGAACCGAATTATTTGTACCGTAGAAGAGCAGTTGCTGCATAAATGTAAAACTTTTCTGAAAAAATAATTTTCGAATAATAAAAATGCCACTGATCTCAAAATAATAACTGGATAGCGCATTCGGAAAAATTTTTGAAGCCAGTTTTGGCCTACCAAGATGGCGGCATAGTTTGCCAACGGTTATATAAGTACCGTTTAAAAAATCAAAAAACCTTAAGCGTAATCGATAAAGATAAAATTTTAAACACAAATAAGGTTTTTTTTTAATAAAAACAATTTTTAAAAATAAAAGTAGGTATATATATAATATATATATATATATATATATATATATATATATATATATATATATATATATATATATATATATATATATATATATATATTATATATATATATATATATTATATATATATATATATATATATATATATATATATATATATATATATATATATATATATATATATATATATATATATATATATATATATATATATATATAATATATATATATATATAATATATATATATATAAAAAATATATTTATACATATTCATAAAAAATATATATACATTGCTTAATATAAATATTATTTATCCTAATATATATATAATATATATATATTAGGAAAAATAATATTTATATTATGCAATATATATATATTTTTTATAAATATGTATAAATTTATTTTATTATAAGATAAATAAAATCCTTCAAAAAAATTTAATAACCAATTTATGTACCTTTTAGTTCTTAATTATCTTATGCTGTGTGCTAGAAGGTTAATAACACAACTGCATGATAGGCAGCTTAGTATCTGTTTAATATGAATCAGTCTTGAAAAAATTTGTTTTAAACAGATACTTGTAATGTATATATGCTGCATGAACTATTAGCTGAGCTCTGTGAGTACACACAACTCAGAGGTTCCTTCTAGAGTTTGTTATCATTAATTATTTTAGTTTAATTTTAATAGATTTTTCTTTTAATACAAATAAATATACTAACTATATACACACACATAAATATACTCACCTAGTACATTTAAGTGAGTATATATATATATATATATATATATATATATATATATATATACATATATATATATATATATATATATATATATATATATATATATATATATATATATATATATATATATATATATATATATATATATATATATATATATATATATATATATATATATATATATATGTTTTGTGGATATACCATCAAGGTGTTTAATGAACAGAGCTATAATATAGAAAATAATTAAACTATGTGTTGCAATCATCAGGTAAAATACTTTTCATTTTTATTTCACCTGATGATTGCATCAGCATGAAACTTAATGTTGTAATGTTGTGAAATTTGCATGAAATTCGTTTTATTTTCTACTATATATATATATATATATATATATATATATATATATATATATATATATATATATATATATATATATATATATATAAATATATTTATATATATATATATATATATATATATATATATATATATATATATATATATATATATATATATATATATATATATATATGTAGATAAATGTTTGTATGTATATTATATATATGCATATATAACTCCTGATAAGTCGTAACCTTTAAGTGTCTGAGGAAATACTGAAAGTTCAATTTTTTAAAGGTTTGAGTTATCAGGAGTTTACTGTGTATATATCAATGACATAGTGCACAGATATGGTAAGTGCAAGATTAAAACTGTAGAAACTGTCATTTGTGCGCATAATTATAATAAGAAGAGTTTTTGTATTTACCACATATTGTCAATTATTAGACTCTTTATCGTTTATCCTACACATACCATATTTATTCACAATAAACTATAAATAAAAACAGGTTTTTCTGCGTACTTATCTCAATTTGACCAAAATTTGTACTTACCATATCTGTGCACTAAAGTGGTATAGTAAAAACAAATGTTTTCATTGATTTTTGAATAAGACAAATTTAATAAACTGCTTCCTAAACTTTTTTCCAGTCAATTTGTTAGTTACTTCTTTGCATTGGCGATGAAAGTGTATTTTTCAGTAATTTTTTGAAATAACTTTAATCAGTGAGAATAAATGCTTATCAGTTAAAGACGAATCTAGCATATGATGAGTTAGTTCTGTGAATACTTTTGATATATCAACTGATCTCAAAACAACACTTGCATTTGCAATTTTATATCATTAGGGAGGGTAATACTTGTTGATGTAAGAAACCTTTGGAAACATCTTTCTGTTCCTTCGCATACCAAAACAACACTTTTGCTTGGTTTAACTAAACCTCCTCTAGATAATTTATTCTCAATAAAATGTAACATACATGTTACATCTTTACATACTATGTATGTGTTAAACTGTCAATAGTTATCCTTCAAACTTTGAGGAATAATTATTCACAGTTGAGTTTGACAAGAGTTAGACTTTAAATCTAAGTCATTGAGAGATGATTTTTTACTTTGGAATATAAATATTGTTTTATATTTTCACTGAATATTGAATCCAGAAAGTTAATGCATTAAATAATAAAATGACTTTTATAATCCTAGAAGGAACCTCTGAGTTGTGTGTACTCACAGTTCTCAGCTAATAGTTCATACAGCATTGGTACAATAATGTTTCTACCTACAAAACTCATGATTTTAAAATTCTTTAAAGATTGTAGGTAGATATCGTTGCTGCTTACCATACAGTTGTGTTATTAACCTTCTAGCACACAGCATTGGGTAATTAAGAACTAAAAGGTACATAAATTATAAACCTCATTTAAAAAGTGTATACTAGCTGAATATTTTAATAATTAGGAATCAAATAAATTTATTTCGCCATCATTACTTTTCTTATTCGGTCAGAATTTTTATTCGATTCAAACCGCTAACAGTTCTAACCGACGCCATCTTGGTAGGCCAAAATTGGCTTCAACTTTTTTTACGAAAAACAATAGAATACGCTATCCAGTTATTATTTTGAGATCAGTGTAAAAATGCTAGAAAAGTAAACAAGATGTAATTAACTTTGAACAACTTATAATCATAGCAATAACTTCTAATCATATAAGCTTGCATAAAATGCTTAACTAGAAAAGCTAACTAGAAACAACTAAAAAAAACTTTACACTTTTTTTTTTTCATTTAATTACTATTTTATTTAGTTTACTTTTTTAAAACACTTTATGCAAGTAATTTATGTTAACTTATTACAAACGTTGAACTGTCATCATAAACTTTTTTTTTTTTTCTTCTTTTTTTCTTCTTTTTCATTTGAAATAAAGAGTTTTAGGGATCATAAGTTAAACTTTCCAGAAACGGTAACGTTAGCAACAGTACGCCAATTTTTTTTTTTTTTAATTTATTTATTTTTGTATTTAGGTGCCCCAAGAAGACCTAGGTCTTGTCACAGAGCCCCGCGGAAGTGCATTTAACCAGGAAGTTGACACCTCCTTCCTTACCGTGACGCAAAAATATGTCCAGAACTCGTTTCGAACCTGGATCTCCTGCTTATTTAGCAAGTGCTGTAACCACAGCGCCACGGCGGCTTAAATGTATCAAAACAGTTAAAAAACTAAACATATATTTTTATATTTTATATCAAAAGATATTTTTTTGGACAAAAACTGTTTCTGATATCAAAATTGATATATGAAGTCAGGTTGCTAATTTATTAGGTCAATTTTCATTTATTAGGAATTTGAACGTGGTTCATTTTCATTTTCAATATGTCCAGAAATATGCATGTTCTATATTAAAACAAAAGGGAATTACTCTTTAATAAGATTTAAATAATACCCAACCAGCAAGTCATATTGGACCCCACATGGGACTCAAGTGGACAGCTTTATGGGGCCCAAATGGGTTGCCCACATCCTACCCAAGGAAAATTGTCGCTGGGCATGAATTTGGGCTCAAGTGGGCAGCCCATATGAACTGCATATGTGGGACCCACTTTTTTATTTATTTAAATTTGTTATAATATTTTGAATAATTATTTATTTTTAAATTAGATACATATAATTTAATATGTAGTCATAAATATGTCGAGTTAAAAAGATAGCATAGAGAAACCGGACAGGATTGCACACGATGTTAGAAGGTGCAATACGTTACTATTCACATAATTAGCTTAAGCTAATTATTGTATGTCTTATTTCAAACCTTTTTTGGTATTGTGGTTTATCCTCCTCCGGCTAGTTGCCATTTAGAGGCCACGTTACCAAGGCCCGCAAAAACAAGTTCAGCTCCCCAAGCAGCGTCATAACCCGCTCTACGGACCAAGAGTAAAGTGATTTTGGGAAGAACGAAGATATGTTAGAGTGAAATATAGAAGTAGTCGAGTTAGAAAGATAGCATAGAGAAAGTTTTTCTTGGAGAAAGTTCATACGCAAATTTAATCGTGAAGAATGTTTTTTTTAGTTTATATACATGACCGCGAGACGTTGATTAGATATGCACGAAGTAGCCTGTATTTTACAATTGTCATATTTAACGCCAACAATCTTCGTTCATACGGTAGATCATAAAATCCTTTGATTCGTTTCGAAGCACTTATTAACACATTTTCTGTTTGCCGTTTGTCTTTGAGAAGTCCAGGGTTGATCCACAATATGATCCATCCAGGGTTGATCCACAGTATTCTTGGTACGAGCGGACTAGAGCTGGAAAGAGCTGTGTTATCTAAATGTTAATTAAAATACTTGATTATTATTATTGTTTTGTTAAACGGTGTTTTATAAATTGAGAGACCTAGAATGAGCGCCGCTCAAAACTTCTGAGTAAAGCGACGTCAAATTTAGATGAACGTGAGCGCGAGCGAACGCTTTTTTGATAGCGCTCAAAAATAAAGCTCATTATGAGCCTTCTAGCGGCCAAATATTGAACTAGTTAATATGGAGTTAACTCCATGTTGAAATGCGCCATCTAGCGGTCAAATATTTAACTTTATATTTAATACAGCACGTATATGTAACCAGCCAGAGAAACTTCTTAATTTTAATACTGCAGTTAACGTTTAGCGTTGTTTCACTTTCATTTTTTAAAGTAGTTAGTTTAAAAACTTTTCTGAATTTAAAGAGCGAATATTGAGAAAGTTATTGAAACTTTTTCATGAGCGGATTTGTGAGCGAATGAGCGGAGTGCCCGCTCAAGAAATTATATGAGCAGATTTGCGAGCGTCCGTTCATAAAAAGCTGCTCAACGACAAATTGAGCGCCGCTCAGAATTTTCTGAGCGAATCCTAGGTCTCATATATATATATATATATATATATATATATATATATATATATATATATATATATATATATATATATATATATATATATATATTTACAAACTTATTTTACAAACGTTTTATGAGTTTTTTTAATTTTTTTTAGTTTTTAAACGTAAGGATTTACTGAGGAAATTACTTCTTCTAAGGAATTTATTTTTTACATTTTTAGTTTTACGATATACACTACCGTCCATAATTATCGAATGGTCATACTTTTCAATATAAGATTTCAAAATTTTCTATTGGGAGAAAAACTGAAAACAAATTCTACCTGATTTATATGTTATCTTTTTGTTTATCAAGTGAACATAAATATTAATAAAGCTTTGGGTCGTTTTCTTGTAAGAAAATGAATTTCCAGAGGTTTTTTATAAAGTCATGTTGACTTTATAAAAATGTCCAAACAAACTACTTTTGTCATTGTTTCCTCTATTTTTACTATGTAGCATTCCGATTAAAACAGTCCCATACTTTACACTGCATCCACCATGTTTCGCTGTCAATAATACACACAGTTTTATCATACGCTCAACGATTTTTCTTCGGACAAACAATATTCATTTGAAACCAAAGATTTTAAACATCGATACGCGCGTCACTTAACAATCTTATTGGCATTAAAAATTAAGTTTAAAGATGATATGCTACTATAAATAGAAATGTGAAAGATATAAAAGATAAAAATAGAAGATGTGAAAGATATAGACGAAGAAAATAGAAGATGTGAAAGATATAAACGATAAAAATAGATGTGAAAGATATAAACGAAGAAAATTTAAAAACTACAATAAAACGTATGTTAATAAAACAATGAAATTAAGAGAAGCTGCAAGTGCATTTGGGTTCTTCCAAAATACATTTTTTTCGAATAAAAATGCTAGAAATTTAAATTAAATTAAAAAAAAATTAAAAAGTGATAACTTTTCCGCGAAATATTAAATTTCCACATTCAAAATTAGTTAAATTTTTTTTTTCAATTGGGTTACAAGAAAACTTTTATTCATATTTATCGAAATCCATTTTACATTCAAACTCTTTAATTTGTTATTTTTTAAATTTAAATACTTTAGTATTTATGAGATAGCTAGATGATTGAATAATATTTTAATTTTAGTTAGCTTGAATATAATATACAAGCAACCGGGTGAATAAAAAAAAGCAATTGTTTATACTCAGCGTTTTTGGAGTAACTGCTCAGCTTTACATGAATAAAAATTGGAGCAAATTTGCTCCAACTTTAATTCATGTAAAGCTAAGCTATTACTCGAAAAACGCTGAGTAAAAGCAATTGCTTGTATTTATTCACCCGTCCTAAGAAAAATGTTTAATGGTTTGAGATCTTTATAAGAATAATTCTGCTATTGGTAATAATTCTCCTAATTTTGCTGTCATTACATAATTATACCTAATCTCATTGTCTAAAATAACTCTCTTGAGGGGTAGTTTTGGACAATTAGTAGTTTTTTTTTTAAAAAAAAAAAGCAACTATAATTTATATTGTAAAACACTAAACAAAAAATCATTATTATAACCAACTAAGATATTATACTTATATTAATCAAAATATTTATTTTAATTATTAAAATATTGACTATTCATCAACGTGTGTTCAACTTGTAAGTTTTATTAGTACTCATTCATTCAAGTTGCTTTTTATTATAATTGTCCATTCACTCAAGTTGCCATCTTGTTTTTTCTATTTAGTAGTACTCCATTCAGAAATCTTTATCGGTGACTTTATAAAATAACTTTTTCATTTTTATAAATTACATTCTTTTTTCTTGTTTATTCTATAAAAAACTACCAAAACCGAAAAGTAAAACTAATTCTGGTATACTAATTCGACTGGAACCATGCCATCTTCAACATCAGAAGGTCCTATGGCTGCAGGTTGTGGCAACATATTAACATGTTCATAATCAATTAAATTTGATGATGCATTGAGATCGTTCCGCAAAAATTTTGATTGTTGCATGCGTATCTTTCGAGAACTTTTCACTAAATATATTCTCGTACAAATAATATTTTAAATAAAAATGAATATAAAATGCTGATAAATATTTCATCCATTTTATATTTTTTTACCTTTAGAATGTAAGTCAGTAATTAAAGGCAATCCCACAGCAAGCATAACAGCCATAATATGCGAGCATCTTTGATTTAACGAACATGAGCACGATTCCCGAGGAAACAAGCGCACTGCTTGCAGGCTACCAGAAGGAGATTTTACTAAAAATGCCTAGAATTATTAATATATATAAATTATTTAATGAAAACAAACAATATGTTTTTCTAAAAATCCTTTTAGCCAATTTTCGCACAACTTTTTATTTATATTTTTATTAACTATAACGATTTTAACATAAATAAATTTAAGAAATCCGAGAGCATCTTTTTGTCCTTTCTGTTTTTTGTTTGTCTGAAAATGTCTGGATTAAACTCAACATATTAAAATTAAAGTGAGTATAAAATATTATTATCGTGTAGTCCTAAACCCAGACTATCTGTGATAGATTCAGGATTTTTTGTTGTTTGAGATTTTAACTTCCAGACATGGAGTAATCTTCAAACATATGTATATTTATATTTATGTCAAATGAGACTAGCAAAAAATTGCGATGATTGGAGGCTGGAAACAAAAATGCCTTTTAACTTCATCCCCAACTCCACCCCAAAGGTGAGGGGCAACAAGATGATAAAATATTTTTTGTGCTATTGTTAACTAGACTTATTTTCATCGATAAATTTTAAGTTTCATAGTATTATCTATCAGCGTTCCAAAATTATGACCATAAAAAGTTTAACCAAAATTATGACCATAAAAAGTTTAACCAAAATTATGATCATAAAAAGTTTAACCAAAATTTAGTAAAATTCAAAAGCTCAGAGCAACCTCTAAAGATCAATAATATTTTAAAGTAAAAATTTAGTAAGGTCACAATTTGAAGGGTGACCATAAATGAATTACAATTTTTTGAACCACTTTAAACAAATAATTAAAAAATTAAAATTTAATAATTAATAACATCCTACACATTAGGGCAGGTCGATTTTGGAATCAGAGGTTTGGTAACAAAGAGATTTGATTATTAGGTGAAAAAAATGTGTTTGATTAACTCTTTTGTTTTAACAAAGTTTAAGTTGAGCTAAAATGATTTTAAATATTGATATATTTCATTAAAAAAATTTTTGCAAAGCCATCTTTACTACTAACATTTTCATTCAAATTAAAGATTGCCGCATTTACGCAAAATAAATGTTATAATTGTGTGGGCAAAATTTAGAAAAAATGAAAAACAAACAAGCCTAAAACATGTAATTGCACAAAAAGCAAGTTTACTTTTTGGGCAATTACGTGTTTTAAAAAAAGAAAGTCCTAACCCTCTTGCAAATACAGAACCACCCACTAACCCTCTTGCAAATACAGAACCACCCACAAACAGATTATTCAAGATTTTTATTTTCTTAACAATCTTATTCAAGTTTTTGTTTTTGTGTAATTGTAAAACTTATAGCTGAAAAAATAATCATGATACGGAAAAAAAAAGAATGATACGGAAGAAAAAAGTTAACACTCGGTTACCATTAATGTCCACTTAATTACTCGGTTACCATTAATCCAGGTTAATTAACCAAAGTAAATCCAAAGTATTAGCAAAAAAAAAACACCTAAAAAATCGGATAGGCTTTTTGATATCAAATCCTGCACATGTTCTTTGTGATGATAAAAATATCAAATGTAGTCAAGATAATTGTCCTGATACTCATATATATGCACATTTAATCCAGATAAAAAAGAACTATGTTATTTTTTAATAATAGATGAATAAAATAAAAGTAATTTTAAATAAAATAAACATTAATATATTACTAGTATGATAAAGTTTAATACTATGAATTCCAAATGCAATTGCTCAATATTATCAAATAATATTTAAATTCCTGTAGAAGAAAGGTTATATTTTAAAGACCAGAGAGAAAAGTCAGGTCCAAAAGGATTATTTCAACTTAGTTGATTGTGAATGGTCTAGAAAAGAATCTTTAAAGAACTAAATATAAAAATGTGGAAGAATCATTACAACAAGAAACATTTAGTTTACTTCCAGAAATAGTAATATCAGAATTTGATTCAGAATCTGTTATCTCTAGGCTCTAGTGGGGTAATTAACTAATAAATTGAAATTTGGGTAATTATTTTACATTTTTTAAACTTACTTTCTTTTTTTAACATATTACTTTTTTACATCAAAACTTTTTGTTAATGATCTTTATAACTTTTCTTTTGAATATGGGAGCATTAAAGAAATCTATTAGGAATTTACAATCTTCGGAAGTTTCCAAAGTTTACCATTGAGTTGATCAGAAACGATATAGGAAGTTTGATTGGAGCTGCATTAGGAAATGCTTATATGTTCGATCTATCAGGACTGTTTAAATAATTCAGCAATTATATCAACTTAAGTTTTAGACAAATCCAAAATAGAAAGACAAAAGAACTCCCAGATCTTCCTTCACTTTTACAGAGTGTTGAGAGATCTGTACAACTTGTTTCCATGGCTTCTCATACTATTTTTGGTAAAAAAGCATGCCATAAGCATATTTTAGCATGAAAGCTAAAATATGCTTATGACGAAGGTATAAAGATCGCTTATTGCTGACCCCATTAAAGGGGTCAGCAATTTACAAAAGAATTTTGCTAAGATAATAATATCTAACTAAGGAAAAAAAAAATTTTTTAATTTAGAGTATTTTATAAATTTAATTTTTACTTTTTATTTATTTTATTTTATATATAAATTAGTTGGGTCCTAAATTTATAATACAATGCTGGAAACGCTACAGTAAATATTGTGCAGAAAGCCTTAGGACACCACTTTAAAGCTAAAATTGCTCATGAAGAAACTATTTTTATTTTAAAAAATTTTCCAGGAAGTGTTTTTGGACTGTTTAGAAAATATCTCCATAATGTCTAACACTTAAATCCAAAAAAAGTTGTAATTCAACCTGCCCTACTAGACATTGCCATTGTGCTATGATCATGATTGAAAGAAGTAACTTAAGTGGAAATCTGGAAACTATTTTACTAAAAAATTTTAAAAGTGAGGTAGATTGCTGGGAAAATCTTTTAAATAGAGCTATCTTTGTCATTAAGAAGCTATGTAGCCAAGGTTTACCTCTTTAAGAACACAGTGAAAAATTTTATGATAATCACAATGGAAATGTTATGTCACTGGAAATTATTTCAGAATATGATTCTTTTTGAAAAAGCACATACTCAAGTGTCAAATAAGTGGTTCTGGAAAAATTTCAAAGATGTCAAAAACAATATGTGATGAATTTATCAGTAGAATTGGAACAGAAGTGAGAAATAAAATAATGATAATAAAAGCAAAATAAAATAATGATAATAAAAGCAAAATTTTTTGTTGATTTAACACTTGATGTTTCTCACACTGATCAATTGTCAATGATAATTGGATATGTTCATATCGATAAAGGAAAACAGTCAAACAATTTTTACATTTTTTTGACAATGCTGATTATAAATCTAATGAAATGTTAGAAGTAATATTGAAGTTTTGAGATAAATACAAACTAAATTTGGATTGCAGAGGACAATCATATGACAATGTCAATAATTTGACCAGCATCTGCAATGATCTAAGTGCAAAAATTTTAGAAATAAATTCACATGCTATTTTTGTACTTGTCATTGTTTAAATTTAATTGGTCGATGTGGAGCTGATTGCTACACATAATTTGTTTGTTTTTAATATATACTAATTTTTATATATATACTAATTTGAGAAACTTATTCTTTCTGTAGTGTGTTAACTAAGCAATGGGCTCTATTGAAAAGCAAAAATAGGCCCAACCAAAAAACTACTCAAGACTTTATCTAATACTTGCTAGATCAGATCTAGATATAGCACAGCCTTGTTTTAAAATTAAAAAGAGATAATTAAAGTTCTAAAGGGAATAAAAGGTGACAACTTAGAAAAAGTAATAACCGTACTAAAGCTATTGGATTATTAAAAAAAATGAATAAAAATGGAAACAACATTGCTCCTAACACTAAAACTATTTTAGAGCATTTAGACAGTGCAAATAACAAATTACAAGCCACTAATACTAACCTATTTACTGTTGCTCAGTTATCTGATTTGTTAATAAAGTACTTGTTTAAAATTTCTTTATAGATATCAAGAAGAAATTTTGACATTTCGGTTAGCTCTAGTTATGAACAGAAATTGATTGGATTACGAAAAAATATTTTGATGAATCCAAAAAGAATCAGTTTATAACAGATAAATTAAATGAAGTATTTAAAAAAAGGTATTTCATAAAATTATACCAGTTTTGATAAAAGAATTACAAAAGAATATAATTCATATTTTTTTTGGTATGAAAAGTTTAGATATCTCCAAAATATATGTAATGTTGATACAGATGTTATTTAAAAAAAAAAAAAATTATACAAATTTTATGAAAGTGATTGAGACCTTAAAGAAGCAATTTAAAAAATTCTTTATTTTTTTACTTTACAGAAAAATGATCTGAATATAAAAGAACTATTGCAAACCAGTTCAACTTTTTAAAGAACTATTGCAAACCAGTTCAACTTTTTAAAGAACTATTGCAAACCAGTTCAACTTTTTAATTCAAAATAAAAAAAAATAATGTGTTTCAAAATGTGAAACTATCTTCAGAATTTTTATGTCATTCGCAATAACAAATTGTTCTACTAAAAAATCATTATCTTGTTTAAAAAGAAAAAACTTACCTTTGTTCACAAACAAATTTAAATAATATTTAAATTATGCACATCAAACATGGTGTGTTAAAGAAAATTGAGTTTGAAAAGTTAAACTCAATACTGATGCAATAATTCTTATTTTTATAAATATGATCATGGCGCAGATTTTCACTTTGGGAAAGATGGCAGAAAAATTTATTGTATATATTTTATACTTTTTTTGATAACACTAAAATTCTCAAAATGTGGCTAGAGGTGGCACATTTTTAAATTGCCAATGAATTTATGTAACTTTTGTTGAAAAATTATTCTTTAATTCTGGTTTTTAGAAGGAGCCTTTAGAAGGAGCCTTCTCATGCCTTTTTGTTGAGAAAGGCTCAATAGCTTTATAAAAAAATAATGATAAAATGAAAAATTATTTAATTGACTACTTCTGAATATTCTAATTTTAATTATTTTGAGTATTTGGCAGGCAATTGCCA